TGAAATTACACGCAAAATACTGACTTTGATTACATCTAGGAAAAAGAACTGAATAGCTAGGGAATGAAGAAAGGCCTGCTCTTGTAGCTTTCAGACTTTGATTTATCCATTTATATGATCATTAACCACCTCAAACAGATCAACTTAAAAGTATCAACCTTATCTACAAAAGGTTTCCAAATTAGGACCAGAAGTTGGCCTGGTGGTTAAAGCACTGAACACTCCCACAGAGCTGACCAGTTTGTAGTCCCGGATCTATCTGGTGGCTTGCTTTCTCACATTCACTCTCTCTCACTCTCTCTGGTCAAATTAAAATAAATGAATGAATAAATCAAATTAAATAAATAATCCTTTTTAAAAAGTTTCTCAATTATTACTCTGGAAAATCTTTCAAGAGTTCTTCCAAACTTTAGATTGTTACTTTTTTTTTTTTGAGAGAGATTTTTGCTATAGGGCACGTGCCTTGCAGAAAGACAGACAGAAAGTGAGAAATCACCCTCCAGGAGGGATGGCCAGGCCACAATCCTTTCTCCTCCATTCTCCTCTTGGGATCTTGGGCATGCACGCACATGTGCCCAGCTTGAGTTTAAGCCACCAGGTCCAGGACTCAAACTGCGGTCAACTACGTGGGAGTCCAGCAACATAGCCAACTGCTGGTCCCTAGATGGTTATTTTAAAATTTCAGAGTTTAATAAAAGGAAACCATATTCTGAACTTTATTCATTTTGTACAAGTACTTGAAAAATAATTGTTTATTTAAAAAATTAAATAAGCACAGAATGCTATTCCTTTATTTATTTATTTACTTATCCCTTGCCACAGGGCAAGTGTGCTCACTAGAGAGAGACAGAGAAGGAAAGTGAGAAAGCAAGCCACCTGACCTGAGACTGGGACCACAGCTGGTCATGAAGGAGTCCAGCACCTTAACAACCATCGTGTCATCCTTTCTGATTCAACTAAGTTTTGGCCCCTGAATCCCACTGCCTTACCCCAAACAGCTCTTCCAGTTACACAATAAGATATTTTCTTCTGGAAGGTTATATTCTGAAATGTAATATAAACAACAGATATTTACTGTGCCTGAATAATAATCAGTTTTTCTAAATGATGCTGCGATACGTAAGAGAATTTACCTGCCTTTAGGGCTTTTCATCTAATCAGCTTTAGGAGCTAGGACATGTTTATATGAAAAAATAACCACCATGCTAGGAAAGATATTGTAGGAGCCAACTATATAAAAAACAACCCCTTGAGAAATTCAGGAGGACATAACACATCTCCTAGGGTAGTCAGTAAAGGCTTCAAAAGAGGAGCAGAATCTGTGTTGAGCTTGATGAATGATCCAATCTCGGCAGGCCAGAGATTGCACAGTGACGCTTAGGTAGTTCAGGAACAAGAGAGCAGGCCAGGCTGGACAAATGGAGCCTGCAGGTGGCACAGGACACTCCCAGTTTCCGAAAAGTCCTCTTAATAAACCCCTCATGCCTGTACCCTTCCACCGCCCTGGGATGACTCTTCGCAGTATTTCCCAGAGTTGTCAGTCGTCTCCATTTTCGCCAAGTAATCCAAGCTCTTACAGCCCCTCCCTCTGCATCTTCCTGTGTCTAATCCTCTCCCTCTCCAAGTCAGGGAGACAAGTCACCATGGTCATTTCTTTGTATACATAAGTCACTCACCCCAACCTACCCATGGCAGGTATCTAAGAAACCACTCAGCCTGGGCCTGGCAGGTGGCATGGTGGTTAAGGGCCCTGGAATCCCACGTGGCTGACCATGGTTCGGGTCCTGGACCGGGTTGGCTTGCTTTCCCACTTTCCTTCTCTCTCTCTCTTTCTCTCACTCTGTTCCTCTCAGGTCAAATTAAAATAAATGAATGAAAAAATAAATAAAGCTAAATAAAATAATATTTAAAAAAGAAAAGAAACCACTTGGCCTGAAAGCTGCAAGAATTCCCCCTTACATTGGAGGCTTTCTATCATCTGCTCTTCATCCACCTCTCACTCCATCACTAAACTCACCGAACGCATTTCATGCCTATGCCCCATGCTTTTCCTTTTGTTTAGAAAATGCTCCTTACTTCGTTCCCAGGTGGGACACAACATAGTTGCGCAGGCTGCATAAACTATAGTTTTTATTATTGACAACCCGTCAGTATCGGGCAGTGCACAACCTTCATGATCTTCCAAGGATGGCCTGTCTCCATCCTTCCCCACCCAGCTTACAGACCCTCTCAGAACAAATGAACTCTCATTTGTGTCTCTGATTCCTACATCATCCACCTAACATTGACTTTTCTTTTTTTTTTTAAGAATTATTGACTTAATTTTATTTATTCATTTATTTTAATTTGACCTGAGAGAGACACACAGAGAGAGAAAGAGCGAAGAGAGTAAGTGAGAAAGCAAGCCACCAGGTCTGGGACTCTAATGACGGTTGGCCATGTGGAAGTGTCCAGCACCTAAGCCACCACGTCACCTGCTGGTCCCCAACATCGACATTTTTTTTTTTTTGAGAAGTTTTTGCTATAGGGTGCATGCACTTGCCAGACAGAGACAGACAGAGAGACAGAAAGCGAGAAATCACCCCCCAGGGGCGATGGTCATGCCACAATCCCTTCTCCTCCATTCTCCTCTCGGGATCTTGGGCACGCACACACACGCGCCCGGCGTGAGTTTTAAGCCACCGGGTCCAGGACGTTTTAAGCCACAGAGTCCGGGATGTGAACCGCAGTCGAGTACGTGGGAGTCCAGCGACATAGCCATTACGCCAACTGCTGGTCCCCCAACATCAACTTTTCTTTACAACAGAAAGCTAGGATATGTGGAATGTCGACAGTGCCTTGAACATAGAATACTCAGAAGATGCTTGCGAATTATGATGGACAAGTCAAGAATGGCAGGTTGTGGTTAAACTGTAAAGTGCCTTGAAAGGCTAAGAAAGAAGTTTTGGCTTTATTTGGCAGGCACCAGCCAAACATGACCAAATGATCAGAGTGATGTTTTGGAGACTGGTTTCAGCAGTCACAAGCAGGCAGGGTTTGAAAGACTGTACTTAAAAAGTGCCAGTGCAGGGACTCCGCCACTGAGGCCAGTGGGGGACTTCCTCTATAAAGTGTGGCATCCTTGTCATCCTCTGGTTTATCTGTTTGGGATTACAGATATCGGTTTTCATAAGCATATGCTCAAGAGTGAAGCTTAACACTGGGTCATTAAGCCAAGAAAAACATGCTTTTGTCTGAAATATCTGAGTATCTAGGAAACATCTCTGACTTCAATAATTATATACAATACAAACACAAAATACACATACATAAATTACACATTACTCTTATCTTCTCTCTTTTGCATTCTCCCTATTTTCCATTTCTGTTGCTTTCCTTTCTGGTTTTCCTGTCTCTGTCCCTAAAATCATTACTCATCCCCCTCATTTCTTTCCAAATGCTCTCTCCACATTAATGATCTCCAGACTGTCCTGTCCGTCTCTAAAGCTCTCTTCCACCCCCAAAAATGGATCACTCAGCTATTTTGCCGTTTTTGCTTATATATTGTTTAGCCAACTCTCTCATTATCTTAACTAACAGCTCGATTCTGTTTCCTTTGCGAATGTAGCTCAACCCTTCACGAACCTTAGAATTCCACAATTAGTGAATCATGTCAAGGCCAATCATGAATGGCTCATTTTCCTATAGCCCCTCAAAAACAAAATCAAGAGCGCTTATGTATTTAGGTATATAAATTAATTTCATTGTGTTATTCGAGTCATAATTCTTATCTGCAAATTGAAAACAGAACTTAATAGACTAAACAAAATGAATTTCCTAATGAATTTCCTTTCAAACCACATATCTTGAATTTCATGCCAAGATGGCATATCAGCAATAGATTCTGTGGGACTAGACAATTTATTTACTTCTTAGATTTATATAAAAATCTTTGCTCTACAGAAAAAAAAAATTACATGGAAATAATCCGCCGTGGTAGCAAGCATCACTGGTAACACATGCACACCTCTCAAGAAAAGGCTACGGGCACAACCTTGAATTGAAAAAGTGAATGGAGAGAGGACCTTAAAACAGCATCAAGGTGAAACAGAAGATAATATTTGGTTTTTCTGCCATAAGGCTGTCTCTCTGGAAAGCTTACTCCTCCCCATCAACCTGCAAAATAAACTCACTTGTATTAAAGACTCGAAAGTGTTATCGCCACTGGAAGGTAAGCACAATCTTAGGAACTATTAAAATATTTTCTCTTAATCTTAGAGAGGTGAAAAAAAAAAACTACTCAAATATGATCTCTGGAAATAGAGCAGATTAGATTCTTCCCCTTGCCTAAAGTAATGGTCTTTCCCCTCCCCAAATGAAAGTCCCTCTGAAAGGCAGTGGTGAGTCTCTGGTACCAATGGTCCACAGAAGCTTTACTAACCAAAATCTGTAGAAATAAGAGAGGGAAAGGAGCGCACAGAGATCCAATATCTAGAGTTATTGTTAAATTAACGTCCTTCATACCACAACAATTGTTAAAGTATATATCATGCAGAGGTCGGTGCATATAGAACCTATGGGCAGGGTACAGCTGATGGCTTCGTCTAGCAACATTTCTTCTTTCTAGACACCACCAAAAAATGGCAAATAATTAAACTGCTTTTAGCTCAAGGTTAAATTGTTCGAAACCAACCATCCAAGTTTGAAGAAATCTAACTAGCTGGTTGCTGTTTGTTCAAAAGTAAGCTACAGAGATGGGAGAGGTTTGTCTGTCTCTTATCAGCTCTCCCTCAAGAGAAGCTTCTGGGGCACCAGGCAGACCTGGCTTTTGACCTGGCTTTTGCCCGGGAATCAGAAGTGGAGACCCCGCTCACTAGTTGGCTGCTCCTGGGGCCTCGCTGGACCCGGAATTCAGCCTGGTTCTGCCGCCAGGAGGCAGGTAAGACAGAGACGGGACGAACTGACTGACGGGACGGAGAGACGCGACAGGACGGACTGGACGGGCAGAGAAGCAGTGCGTCCTACCCGGAGGGCTCCCTCCCAGGGACGGCGGAGTACCTGCTCCGGTCATCCAGGCTGCGGTTGTCGGCGGCCGCCATGCGCCAGTCCGGCAGCGTGCTGGCGCACAGCACCACCATAGACACGATCACGAACACCACCGACACGCTGGCCAGAATCTGCGCGGCCAGCGACGAGGTGGGCTCCTCGAAGGTCCGTCGCATGCGTTCCAGCCAGCGCCTGGAGGGGGCCGCCTCGGCGCCGCCGGCGCGCGCCTCGTCGCGGCCCAGCGCGCCCGGCTCGTCCGCCGAGTAGAAGGTGTAGGTGTCGGACATGCGGTCGTCCAGGCGGCGCTGGCAGCAGTACTCGAGGTGCGCGCCCTCCAGGCCCCAGTAGATCATCTCGTTGTAGAAGGACAGCTCGCACATCCGCGGCGCGAAGCGCAGCTTGCCGTGGCCGCGCACGTAGAGCAGGATGAAGCCGAAGGCCTCCGAGTGCCGGTCGAAGAAGTACTCGTTGCGCTCGCGGTCGTAGTCGTCGCACACCTCGAGCACGTCGCGCTCCGAGCGGCAGCCGTGCAGCCGGCTCACGCGGCGCAGAGGGAAGTCCTTCAGCAGCTCTCGGGACAGCGAGTACCGGGCGCCGCCCACGTTCAGCACCACCGAGGCCGCTCCGCTGCGCCCGAAGGTCATGGCTGGGCGCCCCGGGGCCCCCCCGCCCG